CCGCTCCTTTTTCTGCGTGGCCCTCTGGCACGGGTGGCAATCCAGTTTCGATTACATTTCGCCGGGGCTCGTTTTCGTCGGGCACTTAGCGCTCGCACATCCGCGAGCACCGCCGCTATTTGCGCGCTCGTTAACACATTTTCGACTGTATCCTCTTCCCCCGCGGCGCCCCCGTTTCAACCGACTCTCCACCAAGAAATCGACGTTAATTAAGGCGTCCCAATTCTCCGGGTGCTAACGACGTTCGCCGATAAACTCGGCCGACCAAGAAAGTCTGGATCTACTTGGAACTAGGTTCCGTGAATGGAATATACATTAGCCGCCATTATGTGCCCCTCCTCCCAACTGATTTTCTTCTTGTCTCGTTCAGACTTTGCTTGAAAACTATTATTAAAATAGTATAAGTGAAACATTTAGTAAATCCTATTACCCATTCACTGCCAACTACGAAATATATCGTAGTTTGCGCTACAAGTTTAGATTGATTACGATTGGTCAGCGAATATTTTTATTGCCTTTTGAATTATGAATTATTAGAAATGCAATCTCTGATCGAAATATATCAGAAGTTTGCAATCTCCCTTTGTTTTATTTTATAGGTGTGTAATTTCACGTCTCGTTCTGAAGTTACCAAAGAACCAGCGAATCGAAAAAGGAATGGAAAAAGTTTGTTTAATACTGTGCCATTAGTCTCTACATACTTGTATTATTAACAACCGCATCCCTGTAGTATTCCTAGCTAACGTTGCGCATAAGCATCTTTCAGTTCGCGTTCCACTGTTTTCGCTCTTTACTTATTCAAGAGTATATACACGCGTTGCGAGTTGTCTATTGGGAATAGCGCGAACATGTTTATCCAAGTTGCGTTCTTCACTTGCCGTGGACAAGTCTAACCGTTCGTTACTTACGTGACATGTTTGCATTCCGTTTCAGAATTATTGCTCGATGCAGAGTTCCTCTTTCAATAGTGTCCATTAAACAACGGAAAATCTGTTCGGAATATTTCCCAACAAAATTCTTGTTTACGAAAACTAAATGGGTAATAGAATAGCAAAATATATTGCCGAAAAGGTGACGTTTGACAAAATAAATCGCTGCTTATTAAAAGAGAGAAATAACGTTTATTGCAATTTACGCTCGTGCACAAAAAGATTCATTTAATATTAAAATTCGCGTTCTCCGATGATTTGACAATTTTTTCATGAGGTAAAAGTAAATACATCATCATCGTCCATTGAAAACATCATATTTATTTCCAGCGGTACGGAAATATAACAAAGCGGCTTAACGCATTTGCTTTTCATACGTCAATAAACGGATCGTGCCCGAAGGTTTTTCGCACAGTGGCGCGACACGCGTGGCGTTAGTTTCCGCGGACGTATAAATTATTCAGGAGAGGAGAAATCGCTCGAAAATTCTGTAAACGATTTCCATTCAAATTCGCTTTTTCCCTCCCAATTCCATTTCGAACTTCATCTAACGAAAGACTTTAGTTTCAACAATTTTAAATCGAATTCGTCGCGTTACGGGAGCTCGAGCCTACGCATCAACAGGAATAATAACTTATTAATTTGGAAACTTGTCAAAATCAGGAAATAAAGCTCTTTCACATCTCGGTCCCAGTTTATGTATAGCAAGAGCAAAAATCAAAGAAACTATAATCAATATAAAATACTCATTAAAGAAATAATCTTCATCTGCTGTTCTAATATGTACATTACAATTTTCAATTGAAAGGAGAACCAGACCTATGGTCCACCCTGGTAGCTCCTCGGCGACGAGCGAAATGGACCAAAGAAAATCGTTTTCAACCCCTACCAAGCCCCCTGCAGCCGTGAAACTCATTTGTCGTCGGTGGTCTGAGTGGGCACGACGTACCTCCTCGAGTCGATCCGCCGCGACGTCGCAATCGTCGTGCTTGTCAATTTTTTCGTTCCGCAATTAAACGCGCCCCGTCCCATCGCCGGTGTTCGATCCCGCGTCGCGCGACGACTAAAACCCATCTCTGTCGGGTCCGTCGGGGCTGTCGATTTATATTCGAGGGTCGTCGTAATCGCGCAAAGTACGGAACACGAATCAATTCCCTTGCCTGGAGGGTCGCAAGGTGGAGCCGGTCGAATGGCGGCGGGGGTGGATAGCGGACGAGGCTGGCCGATTCGTACGAGAAACTTTCCAGGAGTTCGGTTAAAGTAGCCGATCCTTTCTCTCTCGCTCCATCGTGGCTCGCCCTTTCGAAACTGATCGCAAAAATCGGCTTTCGAACCGAGGAAAGAGTCGGATCCTGGTTGCTTTCGAAACTTTCCTTGATAATTGATTGTTTTGCCAGCAGAGTGGCTCTTTTAGCTGGCCTCTGCTCGGCTCGTCGTCTTCTCATTGCAGACACTACCTTCGCGCACTGTCTGCGCGTTCCTGTCTCCTCGATCATGTACCTTCCCCCCTTTCCGCGATGGAATCGTGACATTGGCACGCAACATCGAAGGCTTTCTTGATATATCGCCTTAGGTGAGAATTGATGGGAACTGTGGTGGAATTAATCTTGGAGGTTCTCTTTTCCATCAGGAAATTGTCTTTCTCGAATCTTTGACTTTCCTTGCGTTAGTATAAAATATAAATTACGAAATATGTTTTGAAATATCAATGTTGTAAATATATAATGTGTTAACACTATGGCGTCCGGTGGTACCACTGTGGGGCCATGCGAATACTATTAGTCAGTCCTAACGGCGCAAAACCGAAAAATCCCGATTTGATGTGCGGACGTCACAGTGTTAATATAAATGCACACTAGGCGAAAACATGAATCGGCCAGTTTGATAAGCAATCACATTTACTGTTATACATGTAGAGGTACATTTTAATTTAACTTCTTGCATTGAATCTCGTGAAAATTGAAGTAATTCCAGAGTTCGTTAACACGATCGCGATACGTCATCGTATTCTTGTTCCTGAAAGGTTAGAGTCGTTCGCGATGCCGTAGTCGTACGCTGCAATCTGCGATAGGAAGTTTCTCCCATGGGACTTCGGCGCGAAACTTGTTGTATACGACGCACGCACGGATATGTGTACGTGATTGTAGCGGATACCGTACTTTCTGCTTTTTTCGCGCGATCATCTAGGTAAAGTATGGAACGACACGCTCCTACTCTCGTGGAAAATGTTTAGGGTAAACCGACGCGATAAGCCAATTTGAATTAGGTTATCGTGTTTATTCGGGGCGCTTCGGTACAGAGAAAATGGTCGAACAGGCGAGGATAAAGGTTTCAAGCGTTGGAAAAATCCATTAACGCGTTGCCTTATCTACCACCAGTGTTAAAAGCTCTATCGAGATTTACTATAAATTCGATAGCCGTTTAGCCGTCGGCGCTCGATCCTTTCCGCTTTCTTCTCTCCGCGAGAAGCTTTCGACGATATACGTCGAATGCGTTTAAACATTTTTTTGTCGAACAGTTTTACCGAAATACGCTCAATTTCGAAAGTGAAATTATTTATCCGATCAAATTTAACGACGCCGGTAACACAATATTTGTAAATGTAAACGTATTGTACGTTACAGAGAATTGTCGGCGCGCCAAATGTTCCACAAAAATTCCAGGGAATTTTTGACACGAACGCCGGCACTCGTGTTTGAACGGTTTTTATCGTTACATCGATATTTTCTCTCGTAGTTCTTCGATGTAAACGGTGAAATACCGACTGACCGTAGATTTTCTACCGTTACGCGTAAACTGTGTGTTTATTTATCGGCCAATCTCCGCGACGAGCAATTACAAAATCATAAAATTCTTTCACCGAACTTGACAATGTAAATAACGAGCGTGTGGAGCTGGAATGGCTCCGCGGCACGAACAATTCACGTGGAAATGTACACACATTACGAACTCTGCGCGAACCGGTAGGTTCGAAGTTGCGCGCGCTGAATGTTCGAAGTTGTAACTTCTCCATGTCGAGTGTGAGTTCGATATGCCATCGAATGCATTAGAATTGGTAACTGGTTCCATTCTACGCGTATATCAATAAAGAGCACCTGTTAGTTCCCTCAAATTCGCGTTTGAAATTCCAATATTATTCTCTTGGTACACCGCTATCTTTGTGTCGCGGGAAATAGATATTACTCCTACTCTCCTCTATATCTTTCGTTGATTCTGATACTTCAACATATGTAAGGCAGTTCTACCTACATTTGGCGTGAGTCATTAACTTCTTCGCAGGCCGACGCATCCTCATCGAATTCACAAAAGCGATCATACCGACTAGGAAAAATATACACAACGAGAGACTAAAGCGAACATTTCTTACTCTTAGAGTTTGTTACAACGCTACCGCGGATCTAGCGCGCAGGAAAAATAAACGGTAGCATTAGAACGCGTAAAACTGTCGATGGTGGCGGTCGGGGCGAACGAAAAGGGGCAAATGTCGATAATACCGTTATCAGGGCGCAGCCGTGTGCGTCAGTTCGGTAATGATACGAGCCGAAGTCAATCATCGCTGGTGGCGCGTTTGCAACACCGCCGATAACGATTTCGACAATTTTCAGGGGTTATCTCTGTTGTCGTCCCGCAGCACACCGACCGACCACAAATTTTCTGTAAGAGTTAGGAAACGATACACGCTGGATATTGCATGGTTGTCGAGGGCTTTTACTGTGCGCCGTTCGCGGACAATAATACCGAAATATCGTTTACCGGTGGATATTGAATACGAGAATGTTATTTAGCGACGGGGGAACGGGGACATGTATTTTTCACGAATAAACGATCACGGCGGACCGTTCATTTCGCAGTGACTGGATGGAACGTAATGCTTTCGGCTCTACGATTTTGGAGAAAATATCCTGGAGTTTTCAGGGCTATTAAGGACACTATTATACATTTCTAGTATTTAAACAAGTATTTAACATTCCAAAAACGACATTACTTTCCAGTCTACCTAATATAAACTCTAATTTTCAAATGCGACCCAACATGTACCATGTTAAATAATCGTTTTCTTCTTTGTTTCAGGTAAGCTACAATATCAATCTTACTGGGATCGAGTTGTTGTCCTTCTTAACACGTAAGTCTGGAAACATGGTGTCTTTGTATTCATCTGCGTCTATGCCACGCGCTAATAATACACTGAAAACTATAATTCCCAAAAAGAGTACCGCGGCACGAATTTATTTTCATGCACATCGTTGGTATGCGGTTCGTCTTCTGGTCGCGAAACGATTCTATTCATTATTCCCATTCACTGTTTCCGCATAAGTGGCCGGGGTGTAAAACGACGAAGTGGCATCCAACTTGGACGGCCAAAATGGCCGTTACAAATGTGGCCGCGTACGACAGACTTCCGCGAAGCTTTCGTTTTTTTTCTGTAGCGTTCGCGCCGCGTGGAAGGATTAATCGATCCCGAAATAAATCTGGATTGCGCGTTAATAAAGATGCGTTGGGTCAAGAGGTCTCTTTCGCTGAGGATGTCAAAGCGTAGCGGAACTCGAGTTATACATAGCATGGCGCGACTCATTGGCGTTTCAGGTGTCGGCGAGGAACATGCATTCCTCGTTCGAACAACAGCGTACTTTATAAATCTCTAGTTCAGATTCAAGGGAAGCAGTACTTTTCAAAGGGAACGATGTGTTACATACGGAACTATTTTCAAAATCGCACCCCTCGAGTTCGACATCGAGTTACGAGCAACTCAAATATTTCCAACTTTCAGATCCAACTTTTCCAGAAATCGCGATAATTTCCATTGGGACTCGAAGGAAGTCCGCGAGAAGAAGCATGAAACCTGTCGAGAAAGTCGACGACTTTATAAAATTCATTCGCGCTTCGTTCGCGTATTCGAGAATTCGCCCCGGCGCTGACCTTCCCTAAAACGCGAAATATTCCGACGGTAACCCGACGACTGGTCCGGAAGCGCACGGGTAAGCTGCCCTCGCCATGGAAAGTTGGCGGGAATGTCAAATTTCCGAGCGTTCGCTTCAAATCAGTGTCCAAATAAACTACCCCACGGTCGACGTGGCTTCTTCTCGCGGGACCCACCTCTCACGCTTTCGCATCTGCTTCTGTCTTACGTTCCTTTCCCGCTGGTATCTCCCTAGTCGCCTCGTTTTCCACTCTCCAACCCTCGCCTAGCCTCTCCCGTGCTTTCGCGAGCTTCCCTTAGGATTCAGACGCGCCTGCTTCCACGTCGACGACCATCCACCGTCAACGTCTAAGACGTCTCACTTTGCTCGAGAGATGCAGGCTACGCCGGATGTTTGAAAACGTTTTCTCGCCTTCGCGTTCCTTCTCTCCCACACCTGTCTGCCTCTCGTGACAGATGGAAATCTCGCGACCGACTTGCTGCCAGAAATGTTGACGAAATGCTCTCGTGTTCTCCCGCTGTCGTTGAGTCACGGGCTCCCGTAGCAGACGTTTACTCTCCTCTCGGTATTCGCTAACGCGTGCTGGCCCGACGCGAGTCGACTGAAACGGAAATCTAGCTCTTGTTTAAATCAATTGTTTAGATTTAGATAAAACACTGGGAAATTACTTGGATTAAAAAGTAGCGGGGGTTACATTTACGAATAGCCTAGACCTAACTAACCGTCTCCTCCACTTGGAAAACCACCCTGTTCCTCAAACGCAGAACGACAACATCACAGATACGTCTCCAAAATATTGTTTCTCGCTCACGGCAGGTTAATACACCTATACCGTTCCATCCACGATCGAGCAACCTCCCGAAACAACAAACATTCTGCCGAATAACAGAAGTCCCGATCGCGAAGCCAAGTCCCGCGCTGCGGAAAGCGAGCTGCCAAACAGACAGTGGTAATCTTTCGAGCGGGTCAGGGCGAATCCAATCGAATCGCAATCAAACAGACGCAGCTCGAATTAATTCCGCAACCACCATTCAATTCGGTATCCCCATGAAAGATGGAGCGAGACGGAATGCGCGCGGCGCGTAGTCTGCTTCTAAATCAAGACGGATCAGCCCGGAATCCTCGTACGTCAGAGCCCGTGAGCCGACGCGTCGCGTGCACGTGCGTGCAAGTGCGGTCGCGTGTACGCGCGCAAATCTATAACCGGTTACAGGCAAATGAGACGAGGGGAGACGATGCTCTACGAAAGCACCTACAGGATCCTCCCTGTACGCGCGGCACGCCGTGAAAGCCCGTGGATATATCTCGTCGCGTCGGGTCGCATCAACTGCACGTACGCTGAATGCACAATCGCGCGACGTTTCTGCGCATCGACCGCACGCGGATTCACGCAACGTTGATCAAAAGTAAATTTCAGATTTTTCAAAAAGTGGAGTTAATCGATTTGTTTCAGTGAATGGCTCAAATCGGATTCCAGATAGAATTTAGTTTTCTATAATATAGGAGTTGCTGCACATTCCAGTATGACATCATGCCACGGAAGGTATGAGTAACAATTAAAGCAGATTAGCCAGTATTAGGAATTCATATAATTGAAGCAGTTGCGAGTAGAAGATCACTGAATCCTGTTTTAGCAATCCTCAGAGCCAATTCTTTTTCATCGCATCCCTCACTCAGCAGTGGTTGGCTAATGAATCATTGACGCTGAATCATGAGTATGACTGACTATGAATACGTTCCAGGTTAGAGGTCAACGCTTCGAGAAGAGTAAGAGTAAAGTTCAAGGCAAGAGTGAGGGTGGTCCTGTACGGTAAATGCTATCTGTATAGCCTGCTAGGACGTTGACCTCGGTTCAATTCTTCATTTCTCCTAGCAATAGGAGCCATCTTTCAAGATTTAGTAATGTAGCATGTGTGGTTTCATCGAAAAACGTGCAAATCTCGCTAAAATTTGTCATCAGCCGTCGGTATTTTATTTGGTTACTAGTAAATCTTCAGAAATTTGTGCAGACACGTAGTAGTTTTTTGGACTTTACTCCTCGTCCTTCCTATTTCTCAGCAATAAAATGCTAGAAAAAAAATGGCCATGACTACCCGTCAGTCTACCAACAAAGCTTCCAATCGCGCAACGTGCGATCCAAACTTTTGAGCGATGATGTACGATATGTCCCTGCACGCTTGCGTTGCCGCATACATACATCCATACATATAAGTTGAACGCCAGAGCCATACGGTTCTGCAGTGCGGTGGCGGCGTGCGGTGTAGGCCGTTGGAACGCCAATGCTCGCATTATTTACGGTAAATTTGTCGGACGCGCGCGCGTGGCAAAACGCAAAATGCAGAACACAAAATGCAAAACGAGCCGGGAGACGGCGGGTCGTGGCCGACTACGGGACAACGAAGGGAATAAGGGAACGGGACGGCTGAAAGAGAGGCAGGCCTGCGGTATGCGGCCTGGTTCAACCGATTGGAAACCGGCACAGGCCTCTGTAATCTCTCGAATTGTTCCCTCTGTTATTTTCTGCTTTCGTACAGCCGACCAAGGGACATTCGTTCCCCCTCCTGGACACGTATTTCCTCCTCGTTTTCTCGCATAATGTCTTTCTTTTTTTATTTTTTTTTTCGTCGTTGTCCTGCAAAGTGCCACGAGTCTCGCGTGTTTACGCTTCATTCGAAAGAACGGGACTCTGGCTAGCGTACCCTATCCGCAGAATCGTGTGTCGAAGAACATTTGTTTCAGGAGGCCGATTCTGGTCGCAGAATGTCACGCCTGCGACGCGATACTGATTGCACGTAGACGAAGCAAATTAGCGTCGACTTAATGAGCCCTCACTCCGGGGCCGCAATGCCGTTGAAATTAAAGCGAATTTGATTCTTCGTGAAACCGGATGACGCCGCGCGTCACCCTACCTCGTTGTCTTCCATTTCCGAATTTTCCCTGGCGTGCTCGTTCGGGCTAATTATTGCGGTGGCCAGGATCTGGCTATTTCGCGCCGCAGACCGTCACGGTGCGCAGCGCTGCGCAACATTGCGCAACGTTAACGAGACCCAACGGTACGTCGAAAATCATTGTGCCTCTTTTGGGTCGCGTGCTACCTGCTAATATCAGATGAAAGTGGTTTTCGAAAGGCACATCTACATTTAAAATTATTTCATTCAAATGGTTCGGTATGTTTCGATTAAAATGTGTTTTGCGTAGTTTATTCAAGAAAAGAGACAACAAAATTAATAGATCCTTATAAGGCTCTTTGAGATCTGTTTCCCCCTGTTTAGTAATCAGTTCGTTTTGTGTCGAAAATCATTGCCTTTTCCGTCGTGTCGGTGCACAGCTTGTTTGATTCGCGGCGCGATTTCAGGAATCGTCACGCACGCGTTAAAAGAGATAGCGAGCACGACACGCGAGCCCCTAACGTCGTCGAATGGACGGAGGGTATCAAGCTCTGATACGAGGGTGTCATTGTTTTTACTGGTTGATAAGGACCGCGTTTAATGGCCTGTGGAGTTTTCGAGCGCACCCTGATTTGTCCGACCGTTTTACATTGACATCGCGGCTAATCCACTAGCTACCCCCGTCGGGCGTAATCATGCTTTATCGCGAGTTATAAATTTCCTTTATTCAATTTACGAATGCCACGTGGAAGATACCTAAGGGCGATGGATAATCGATGATTCGTTCCAGTGATACGTTTCTCGTTTGTGGGATATTAATAATGAAAGCTGAGATTGCTTTGAGCGCTCTTATATATTGATTCTATCGAACCTCACAGTCATGACAACATTTTTGGTCTCAAGTATTTTTAAAGGGACAGAAGGGAATGTTCGGGACAGCGGGTGTGAAATTTCGAACCAAACTATGACGAGCAATGCTCGAACAAGAATATTTGGATATATTATTTATCGAAATAGAGTTGAAAACGTTTCGAAGAATCTTGAAATACAATTCCACCGAGTGTTAATAACTAAAGAGCACCGCGAGTCCTGTAATCCACAAACAAGAGATTACTATGTCGCGCTAATCGTCACATGCTATCGGCAATTTCCTGCGAACACCACACGTAATATGCAGATAATTACTGTTTCGGTCTCGGTAGAGTGTAATATCTCAAATTACTTCTCGCAGCCTTCTCTTTTATGCGTTTCTGCGCGTTGTAAAGTCAGACGTAATTACACAGTAGCCGTTGGACGACGATAAATAGTGATCGATGTACGA